TGATAACCACTGATACAATGAAAAGAACTTAGAAAATGCCTGTCAAGAGTAAGTGCTCAATAAACATTGTGTATTCTGCTAGAGAGCACACTCCCTCTGAGACTGTTGTATAGAAGAGATCCTCTGTGCCTAGTTGCAGGAGTGAGCTGACTTCCCACCCTGGCGTTAAGTCAGTCTCCAGGGAGAAAAGAATATGCCATAATGCACCAAATACTGAGTTACTAGGAAGAAAGATCCCAATCGGAGGCTGCAAGAACTATTATCAGCTGCTTAAATATCCATTTGCCCATCCACCACTCACAAAGTGCTCTATTTATTTGCGCACTCTGTAATATAGCAGCGGAGGGAAAATTCATTAAGGCAAATTGTGAGGGTAGGTTTAAAAGAATTTCATCTCTCTGTTTTATGCAGTGCATAGTTCCCTGTTTAATGAGATCTCTGCAAGTCCATTTTCCTTAAGGGTTTAATAAAAGTATAATTTTAAAAATTAAGACAGATGGGGAAAGTGCTGAGGGAAGCTATTTCTCCCATTAGCTCACAGAGAAGACCTTGATATTGCAAGATGGGTAGGGAGAGGAAAGACTCCAGAAGCTATCAACAGTTCTTTAAGGTTATATAAAACTCCAGCCTGCGTTTATGTGGCTCTGGGATTCCTGCCGAACAGATAGGAATTAGATTTATTTGGTTGAGTAATGGGACTGTTACTAGCTGGCGGTTTAATTAATGCTGATATAGGAGCTTTGCCTTTTCTTAGGATTGGAACGACAGAGCACTGAGAAAGAGACATTTACATTTAAAAACATGTTTAGTAATCTTGGTTGCTTTTGGAGCAGAGAGGAAAACGGGATGCTTGAGGGAGGGAGAGTCTTTGAGTGTTGGCCAACATTTAGGCTATTTTCAGTTCCCTACATGCGGCATAGCAGGGGCAAATTGTTCACCACAATTTGGTTTCACTCCATCCCGCTGCTTCTGCCACTGGCTTCTTGAAGCCAGGTAAAATATGAGACATAATTTTTAAAAAACCTACTCAGAAATTTTATTCTAATTTAAAATATAAAATTATAATGATATGACCTGTAATTATTAAGTAAGCTAAGAATAGATATTGCTCACATTTCCTATTGCTTCCTTTGTTAATTTTCACTGGGAAACTGGTCTTGTTATCATCATCATCCCCATTTTACAGACCAGGAAACCAAGGCTCAGTCACACAGAACAGGCAGAGCTGGGACTTGAAACCTGTCCATGTCTTAGACCCTGTGCTACCCTTTTCTATGTGACAAATGGGCCAACCGAGTCTCAGAGAAGTGGGGTAAAAGTCCCCAGGCTGAATAGCAAGTAAGAACAGATTGAGGACTAGATTTCTTATCTAGCAGCTTTCCCTTCCTCCAATTTAATATGGGGATTCTGACTCACTTCAATATTTGTCTGCATAACACTCATTAGGAAATATAAAGATGCTTTCCTCCATCATCTCAAAAAGAGTAAGCCAACTCACACTGAGAGGGGGCTTACTGTGTTGCAGGCATTCTGCTGGGTGCTATGTGTTATTTCATTTAATCCTTGCAATACATGTTAGGCGGAAGATATGTCGCTATTTCCACTTGTGAGATAAGGAATCTGAGACTCTGAGAGGTGAAATTACTTTTCTAAGGTTACATAGCAGGAAGTGGTCCAAACTGGATTTGGACCCAGGTCTGTCTGAAACTATCAAGCCTTTGTACTGAACTCCAAGGCTAAATAGATACTGTTGTTGGTTTTCCTTTACTTCACTTTACCAGTGTCCCAGGCTGCCTCCATCTATGGTAAGTAAGAGGTGACTATGCCCTAGCTGGTTTGGCTCAGTGGATAGAATGCCAGCCCATGTCGGAAGGGTCGCAGGTTTGATTCCAGACAAGGGCATGTACCTTGGTTGCAGACTCAATCCCCAGCCATGGTTGGGGCATGTGTGGGAGACAACCAATCGATGTGTCTCTCTCACATTGATTATTTCTCTCTCTGTCTCTCTCCCTCCTTTCCACTCTTTCTAAAAATCACTGGAAAAATGTCCTTGGATGAGGATTAACAACAACAAAAAAGAGATGACTGCTGTAATACAGCCTGTCACACCTGGAAGTTACATGAGAAAGGAGTTGGCTCCCTTGATGTATTTTCTGGTTGGCATGCTGTTTGATGGTCTCCTTGATGTGGTGTGTTGTAAATCAGGAGGCTCTTAGAACTTGTTGAAATGGACATGGGTCCCTCAATCAGCGGTTTGAAAAACACTCCCTTCTTTGCCTTTTTGGGCTGTCATTCATTTGGTAATACTAGCGAGAACCAGATTCCTTTCTGACCAAGAAAATATCTTCGGGCCGGGACCGGTTTGGCTCAGTGGATAGAGTGTCGGCCTTTGGACTGAAGGGTCCCAGGTTCGATTCCGGTCAAGGGTATGTACCTGGGTTGCGCGCACATCTCCAGTGGGAGATGTGCAGGAGGCAGCTGATCGATGTTTCTCTCTCATCGATGTTTCTAACTCTCTGTCTCTCTCCCTTTCTCTCTGTAAAAAATCAATAAAATATATTTAAAAAAAAAAAAGAAAATATCTTCGGTTTACCCTCTATGTTCAATTCCAAAGTAGTTGAAAACAATGTTTTATTTCTTTACCATGTTGTCAAAGACATTGAATAAATGGAAAGAGGTCAAGAAGTAGATGATGTCCAAAGAATGGAGAGGATGACTCCAAAAAGTTCATGTTCACATTAGCAATGTTGGTAACTGGCTTCAAGTAAGTTAAGTTGCTCCCTGCCTTGACCAAATAAAGTAAGCGGGCAGGTTTTAATTTTACAAGGATACTTGGATTTTGCACTTAGGACCAACAGAAGTGACTTTTGTTTTTGCATCACATAAATCTTTGCTTTTTACTTCTTCATCTATGCCAGACATCACTAATAAATCAAGGCACTGTGGCCTGCTCAGACCAGTTGTGATCTTAAAATCCTTCCCAGTAGAGGGCGCCAGGCAGCCTCTGCCACAGATCAAAATTGGATTAGAGGTGAAATCAATCTGTTAAGTGTATCCGGATGCTGTTTTATGTCCTTTTTTTAGTATAGGCATCCCTGTTTTCCTATCAGACAGCCCAGATACAGGCCATACTGGATTGAGTTAAGATGCTAATCAAGGCATCTGATGGGAAAACAAATTTTTAAGCGATGATGGCAGTGATTTGTGGAAGGTCATACAGCCAGTAAGTGAGGAAGGAGATTTAGTAGATTTAGGAGTCAGACAGACCCAGATTCTTGTCCTGGTTATACCATTTCCTCATTTGGTAATGTTTGTTAGGCAAATCATTTCAAATCCCTGAGCCTAAATTTCTTCATCTGTAAAATGGTAATATAACGCTACCTACCTCATTGAACTATGGTGAGGATTAAAATAAAATACTGCATATAAAATGCCTAGGAAAGGGCCTGGTAAGTAGATAGATTGCCTAATAAATGCAATATTTTTATCCAGTTTTCTTAAAAATATTTTATGCCCATAAAAACTTAATATACATCGTTATGGAATCTGACAACTTTGTGGAATGGGTGCCACCACTTCCATTTTACAGATCATGAAATGGAGACTCAGCAGTAAGATGGCTTTCCCAACTTCATATGGAACATAAATAGAAGAGCTAGAATTCAAATGTCAAATATGGAAGGCACAAGCCCTTGCTTCCTTAAAGTCTTATTCAGATATCTCTTCCTCAATGAGATGTAACAGTACCATCCTCTTAAAATTTCATCTTCTCCTTGCATATCTGTTCCCCCTTACCATGCTTTATTCTTCTCTCCAAAGCACATTTTGCTTTCTCACACACTATCTTACTATATAATTTATTTGCTATGCATATATTTTGATGTCTGTCTCACTCTTACTTAACTGTAAGTCCCACAGAGCAGGGAATTTTATTTTGTTAACTGCTGCATTCATTGGTCTGAGTACAAAGTGCTCAATAAATATTTGCTGAATAAATGCATGAAGTCTCCCTTGCTCTAAAGTTTTTTTGGTTTTTTTGGTACCATATCGTGTCCTAAATGTTTTATAATCAGAGGTATCATTTGTTAAATGTCTACCATGTTCTAGACATTATAGAAGCATCATAAATATAGTGACGCTTCCCTGACCAGTTTGGCTCAGTGGATGGAGCATCGACCTGCGGACTGAGAGGTCCTGGGTTCGATTCCGGTCAGGGGCATGTGCCTTGGTTGCGGGCACATCCCCAGTGGGGGGTGTGCAGGAGGCAGCTGATCGATGTTTCTCTCTCATCGATGTTTCTGGCTCTCTGTCCCTTTCTCTTCCTCTCTGTGAAAAATCAATAAAAAATATATATATTTAAAAAAATATATATAGTGACGCTTAATTTGACCACAAGTTATCAAGGAAAGGATGATTATTCAGGCTTTGCAAGTCAGGAAACTAACACTCAGCAGGGTTTTCTAACTCCATGCCCATCAGACAGCTATGAGGGGGGTCATATCTAGGTCAGTTGCACTCCAAGACCTGCTCTCCTTGCCCACTGCATTTCAAATTACAAGACCTGGCTTCATTCTCAGCAGCTGTTCATGATCATCAGCCTAGGACCCAAATTTTTGTTTGAGAACCAGACCCTTAGCTAAAAAAAAAACACTCATCAGACCTCTTGAGCGGACTCTATTGTATACATATTCCAGGGTTGGAGCCCACCAAAACTTACTGAAAGAGAATCCTCAGGGTTAGAGAAAGTATGAGGAGATGAGGTATCTGGGGCAGACGCTCAATGCAGGAGCTGCCCCCTCCCCCCCAGTGGTCAGCGTGCTGCCACAGCGGGAGTGCCACTCAGCTGACTGACGGGCGCCGGACACTGGGCTCACAGCTGGCGAGCACAGCTGCGCAGCACAAGCCTCTCCTGCACCCACAGCCACTTCTCAGTCATGGGTGCACCAGTATTGCTCTAGGATGGGCACACAGAGACCACAGCGGAGTGGCAGCGAGCCTACCCAGCAGTGGCGGCAGGGGCAGCAGGGCCAGGATGAGCGGGAGTGGCACAGCGCTTGGCCTGGGCTCGGGCTCCTCCCTGGCCGCCTGCCCCATCGCGCACTACTACATCCATAGGGGGACGTCGGACTGACTGCCGGTTTCAGCCGGATCCCCTGCAGGCCAGGCTGAGGGACCCCACCAATTCATGAATCTGTGCACCGGGCCTCTAGTTTTTAATAAGAACCTAGGAGATGTCTATGATCAGGCTGCTCTAGAAAAGAGCAATATAATTCATCCATTTACCCATCCATCCATTTCCGCACCTTTAAAATGAGAATAATAGCAGCACCCAGCTTAATGGTTCTTGCAAAGACTAAATGAGAAAATATGCTTAAAACAGTGACTGCCACTTTGAAAAAGCTCATTAAGACTTATACTTGGGTACCTCCTATGAGCCTGGTGCCCTTCAGGGATACAGCAGAAACGGACAGACAGGGCCTGGCCCTCTAGGTGCTGACCACCTAGTTGGCATGAGCACACATTTTCACATGAGACAAAACTGGATTGAACTCCTGCCCTTTCCACTCACACTCAGGTGTGAAGATGAACAAACGACTGAATTTCTCTGGCTCCATTTGCCCAAATGCGACGTGGGGATAATAAAATTATTAAAGGACAACAATGTTTGGAGGAGACTGCGACTCAGAGAGGCAAAACAACTGCATGAGGTCACACAGCTAGTAGACAGCAGATGGACTTTGAACCATCGATTAGACTCTGGGTTACTTGCCATGTTACTCGGCTTCCCACGGAGATAGGTGGCTGCGAAACTCACAGGGAATAGGTGGAAAGAATTACAAACCCAGTGGAGGCTTCACCCAGCTGGTAGATACCCGCCAACTGAAGCACATTACACTGACGCCTGCGGACGCGCCTCTGTGACCAAAAGCTGTCCAGGCGCACCTCATTTCCATTATCTTCACACAGAGCCAGGCTTACCAAGTTTTCCTGCAACACAGGAATTTGGAGAGCCCCTTGGAGAGATTAGGCTTCTCTCATCTCGCCAGGCACAAGTAGAGTTTGGGAGACATGAAAGGCAGCAGTTTATTTCATAAATAGATAACAGCAAGCCATTTAGAGGGAGCAGTGGCAGGAAGATGAAAAAGCTATTAATGCAGTTGGAAGCTCATTTCTTTCGGAGTGGTCAGCAGCCAGCAAAGGGGACAAAAATGAGAAAATATTGCAATGGGTGCTCCTGACAACACAAATTATTCAGGAGATATCAAAGCACTGTTCACCATCGAAAACATTTTTTTTTATGTTTATGATATCTGTTCAAAGGCATCCTTATAGATGAAACCCAAAAACATTTATAGGTGTGCCTGTGTGTATGTGTGCGTGTGTGTATGTGTACTTGCATTTCTTTTGTTCCAGTACCCTATGTATATCACTACTTTGAGTTGATGTACTCAACAGTGGCTAGGCTGGGCCTACATAACACTAAGTGAAGTCCATGTGCCTGTCCCCTGGGTAACTGTACTGTTGATGTCTGCTGTGCTACAGATGGGGTTCTGGAATTCTGGGAGAAGACTGATGGGGTGGGGGGAAGCTCTAAATCTGGGAGGAGGGAGACCAGAAGGAGCATGCAGATGAGAAGAATGTAGCAACATTTCCCACCCAAGGTGTGTGTATTTTGGGGGGGCGGGGGGACGGCACCAGGAAAACAACAGGATTGGGAAATCCTTGCCCTTAATTAATTTCCCTGAGCCTTGAGTTTCTCTTCTGTAAAATAAGGACAAAAATACACACCTCATAGCGTTGTGATTCATTAAATTAGATAATATATGCCAAATAACAGTGCCCAGCCCCCAAACTAGATGATGATTATGTAAATGCCCTGGGTCTGGGAAGGAGGTTTTTCTATAGACTTCTCTCATGCTTATCAGGGACCAGGAATCAAACCCCTAGTTAGTTATAAAGTTGTCCATTGCCCAGCATTTAACTCTTTCTCAACTCTCACTAGGGGTGTCTTAATCTATAAATAGAGCATTAGTTTCATGAAGGCAGAGAATGTCTAATTCATGTGTAATTCCCTATTTTTTGACAAAATGTTGTAAATACCTATGATTGTATGGTTAAAATATAGGGTATATATTAGGGAGTTGAAGCAATTAAACTTGCACAGGTATGATGATGCCATGTACTGATGACCAGGCAGAGTATGGACCCTCTCTTATGTACAGTGGGGAGTCATGGAAGCTTTTGAGCAAGGGAGTGGTATGATCAGCCCCATACTGTATAATAACAATGATTATATTGACAGCCATGACAATGGTGGCAATAACAGGGAAATTTGAGCTCTTCCTTGGTACCCCAAACTGTGCTAAATCTTTTACACCCATCATGGTATTTAGTCCTCACAATGATCCTTGGAGCTTAGAATGTTGGATAATTGGCCGTGTGCTGGATGAATTGAAGGGCAGAATGACTGGAGTCTTTTGAGACTCCATACAGGCCTCACTTAAGGGAGGACAATAAAAATGGAATTGACAAGCTCCCAAGCACGTATCACATATTTGTCAATTGTACTGGTCAGCCAAATACTTCCTTAGTTCAGTAAAACGTTCAACCAAATCAATGTAATCCCTTATGTCGGGAGAGTCAAAGAAATGGTTTGTGTAGAAAGAACCTTACCAGGTTTTAAGGGAGTGGTGTGACTCATTTGTAGCTGGGTCATAATGTTCCCAGAGAGGAGATTCTAAGAAGTGTCTGTGGCAAGGGCTTTGCACAGTGTAATGCATGAAGTAGCCGATTTGGGGCAATTTTCTCGTAGCTACAGGAGGAAGAGGGCGAGAGAGAGGAGCTTTTTGGCCGGGGAGGGGGAAGAAGGTGAGTAGTTGACCCTATTTCTCCTGCCTCTCACTCCCTTTCCATGTCCCCATCAGCATGTGAGGCTGGTAAATGAGGACCCTATTTCCCTAGGAGGTTCCTCTAGGAACCTCCTGAAATTCCAGCTGAGATTGATGAACTTTCAAATGATGAGGTTTCTGGGGGCATTTATTGACATATAAATCAAAATCCAATTTATGTGAAGGAAAATCCCAGCTGGTTTACATGGCAGGATTATGAAACAGTTTTTGCCTTGTGCACAGCCTCTTAAAGCCATAGGATATAAAATGATGTTACCTTTCACAAAGGCGGCTTGGCTTTTTAACTTCTGCTGGCATTTTCCTGGTATGATCCTGGTCCTGGATTGTTTGAACACTTCCCATATATATGACTTCCTGAGGTTCCCAACTTTTGCCAGTGGTCTGACTGAAGGGAAGAAAGAAAATGAAATGTACTGAGTGCCTGCTGTGTTCCAGGCACGTGCTTACAATATCTTCTTTTAAGCCTCACAACTATCAGCAGAATACTTGACCTTACTCTCAACCACGTGACTTTCTGTTCTGGTTCTGAGAGGGTGTATTAGTTATCCATTGTTGCATAACAAATTACCACACACTTAGCAGCTTACAGAAACTCACATTTATTATATATATTACCATCCCTATGGGTCAAGAGTCCAGACATAGTTTAACTGGGTCTTGTGTGCAGGGTCTTACTTACAAGGTTGCAATCAAAGTGTTGTCCAGGGCCGTGGTCTCATCTGAGGCTCGATTGAGGAAGGATCTGGTTCTGAGCTCATAAGTTATTGGCAGCAGCCCTTTACTAGTGGGCTGTAGAACTGAGGGTCTCAGTTCCTTGTTGCCTACTGAGACCACACTCAGTTCCTCTGTACATGACCTTCCCAACACAGCACTTACTTATTCCAAGCCAAGGAGTGAGAGTATTCATGCAAGATATATGTTACAATTTTATGTAACATTATCACAGAAGTGACATCATTCCATCATCTTCATCATATTTATTGGTTAGAAGCCAGTCGCAGGATCTGCCCACACTCAAGGCGAGTGGGTTACACAAGTCATGAGTACCAGGAGGTGGGGGTCCTATGAGAGCCATCTCAGAGTCTGTCTGTCCCAGAAGAGTTAAAACACTCCAGGTCACTCAGCTAGTTGTTTGTAGCGTTAGGATTTCACTTTAGTGGCTACACTCTTAACATTAAGATGTCCCTTCAGCTGATTTCAGCTGTGAATTTCAAAGCAAAGTTGTTCCTGGGATATTTAACTTGAATGATGAAGCCTGGATCATTTGTTCATCTATGGAGCTGCTGTGGGTCATCAGCACCCAAATTATTAAAACTGGAGTGCAAGTGAGGCAGGTCTTCAAAGGACTACTGAGGTATCATTACCCCAAATGGTGAAGGGATCCTGAGTGTGTCTCTCCTGATAGACACAGACCTCCACAGGCTGTTTTCTGATGGAGAGCACATTCTCAGATGGAGCTCAAGTGAGCCACTGTGGCCTTGGGGAGAAACTCACGTAGCTGCTCAGGGGTAAACGCTGTCTATCACAGGTCTCTCTCCTTGTGGTCACCCTTCACAAAAGAGGCTTCCTCATCTGTCCTAACAGGGTATTGCTGCTGTGTTTTCATTTCTCCACCAGCACTCACAGCCTCCAATTTGATGTTTGGAGCTCTTCAAACTCATGGGTCCTGAATAAGACTTGTGTGGACTCCCACATGGCTGCCATGCGTAGTTGTACGGCTTGTGTACCTCATAAGGAATGCCTGGCTGAGAGGGTGAGTGGTCATATACAAAGCCCACACACTGAGACTTTGTTGCCCACGGCAGTGAACGCACTCAGCACCCCTTCCCCTTCTTTTAGTAAGAACACCCCAGTTGTGTTTTGTTGGATTTAAAGAGCCTCCTCCTTTCACTCTTCAGCCTTCATACCACTCACTAAGCCAGGAAAGGCTGTTTCTGCCGGAATGAAGAGGCACCTTTCCCACTTCACATACGGAGACCCATCCAAGCTTGCGGCAGCCTTGATGACTCTTTTCAGGGTAGACAGCCTTCTGCTGGCCTGGGGTCGTGACATAATCTGCCCAAGCTGACTTTGAGAGCCTGCAACTCAGTTTTTAAACCCAACTGATCGTGGTGGAAAGTCTCCTTTATCACGCAACCTAAGCTCCTTTCTCATGCTGCCCCTAAACTCCTAAGTCCATATGTA